TTTTCTTTGCTGTAGGGTGCATGTGCTCATCAGAAAGACAGAGAGACAGAAAGCAAGAAATCCGCCCGCCCCGAACCCCCCCGGGGGGGACAACCACGCCGCAATCCCTTCTCCTCCTCCATTCTCCTCTCGGGATCTTGGGCACACACACATGCAATGTACCCAGCATGAGTTTAAGCTACCGGGTCTGGAACTTGAACTGCAGTCAACTACATGGGAGTTCAGCGACATAGCCATTACAGCAACTGCTGGTTCCATCTTTAGGTTTTTAAAGATGAGACCAGTTGATTTTTTTTTTTTGAGTTTGTAAATTAAAAAAAAGAGTATGAAGCTAATGCTTTTTTTTTTCTTCCCCTTACAGCCTTCCGGCCAGAGAAACAAATGAATGTTCCACCTTTGGATACAGTTGTCACTCCAGATGATGTCCGATACTTCACAAATGAAACTGATGATATTGCTAATTTAGAAGCAAGTGTGGTTGAGAATCCTTCTCATGTACAACTTTGGCTCAAGCTCGCATACAAGTACTTGAATCAAAATGAGGGGTAGGTCAGCCTCATATCTTTGTATAAACTGTTGGTGACATTTATATTTTTATGTTCATGGTTTATTTCACCTGTGGTTACCATATTTACTTCCTAGCATCAATAGAGTCTTTGTTTTTTGCTGAAGCCAAAAGCATACTATTGTTTAAAAGCTATTATTTAGCAAGTTTGAGGTTAGATCTTGAGTTTGTGTGCATGGCTCAGCATATAGGTAATACATTATAATAAAAATTCCCAATAGGTTCTTATGTCAAGGTAGGTTTAGTTAAACCAGAAGGACTAACTATTGAGTTTTTTTTAAAAAAATCAACTAGTCATGGGACCAACAGATGGCATAATGATTACGTTGCTAGACTCACACATGGCTGATCAAGGTTCATGTCCTAGACCTGGTGGCTTGAAACTCAGGCTGAGTGTATGTGCATTGCATGTCCAAAATCCCAAGAGGAGAATGAAAGAGAAGGGATTGCGGCGGCATGGCCATGCTCCCAGGGGGTGATTTTTCTCTTTCTGTCTATGTCTTTCTCTGTCTCTCTGGCGAGTATATGCACTCTATAGCTTATATCTCTCTTAAAAAAAATACCAAGTAGTCGTAAGTCTCTTAAAATAATGATAAAATCACAGTGAATCAGGTTCAGTTTTCTGTTAATTTACAATTGAGATTTAAAGTTTATCTAAGAAATTCCACATTCTTGTGAATTTTTTTTCTGTGTACAGTATTTGTATTCAAATAAGGTGAGTAGTAATAAATTTATCTCATAGCCTTTGATAGTTCGTGTTGCAAATTGAATCTTTTAACTTCTGCAGTACTTTTTGATAATAAAGATAAGCCAAGAATAATCTTTAAATATTTAAAGTTATAATTCAGGCTTTTTAAAACAGGCTGCTCTCATATATTTGACCATCTCAAATGTTAGTATAAAAGACTTTAAATAAGGCAGTACTCAGAGTGTTAATAAACCATACATACTTGAATATGGTACTTAACTTTTCTTGTATGTCATTTCCATGTTAATAGGATAAGTTAGAGTGTTTTCTTTTCTGACTCATTTACTGAGTGAAGGCCAAAAGAACTGTACATTATTTTATGAATAGGATCATGAGAGAGAATTATCTTCTCCAAGAGATAGCAAGCCCTTGACTGTTGAAAAGAACTATTATATTGAAAGCTTTGATATTTTGTGCTGGCAATAACTGGCCTTGAGACAGATTTGTTTAACTTTTCCCATTTCTGAACAGTGTAAATCATAAAAGGTATTGTTGAATATGGACATAAAACACACTTGAAGTTGATAATCTTACTGGTTATCGGTACCTTTTGGACAGGTCTTACTTAAAATCTTAATCTTTTTACCTTTGTTGTAAGTAATCTTGATTTTCTTGGTAGGTTCTAATAGAAAATAACTTAGATTCATTAGATTAACCCTATTTAAATTTTCAGACATTAAAAAAATAAAAACGTTAAAAAATAATGCTCCTGCCTATTCTTTTAAACATACAGGCTTTGTTCACAATCTTTGGATTCTGCTTTAAATGTTCTTGCTCGGGCATTGGAAAACAACAAAGACAATCCAGAAATTTGGTGCCATTACCTCAGGTTGTTTTCAAAAAGAGGAACCAAGGAGGAGGTGCAGGAAATGTGTGAAACAGCTGTTGAATATGCTCCCGATTATCAAAGCTTTTGGACTGTGAGTAGAAAAGATAACATAGTCCTGTATCTGTTCATAACTCTTCAGGTCACCTTAAATATTGATATGTGCTTTAATAGACTGTATGCTTTATCTTGATATAGATATAATTACTTTCGGTTTCTAGTAACATCAAAACCACTTCTGGGTCAGATTTAATTTGGACTAAATAAGATCATGATTAGTGAAGAGGTGATTATTATTTTATTGATAAGGAAAATATATAAAATTATTGAGTATCTTATACTTAGCCTTTTTTCTTTTATTCGTTTATTTTTTAAAGTTTTGCCATAGGGCACTTGTGCTTACCAGAGACAGAGAGACAGTGAGAGGGAAAGTGAGAAATCACCCCCCCACACATCAGGGAGGCTGACCCCTCCAGAATCTCTTCTCCTCCACTGTCTGCTTGGACTTTTTGGGCACACACACACATACACACACACACACAAGTATAATTTTCAAGCCACCGGGTCCAGGACTTGAACCATAGTCGGCCATATGGGAGTCCAGCACCCTAACTACCACATCACCTACTGGCCCCACACTTAGCTTTTCTTACACACAGTTTTAGTTTGAGCGAAGGAAAGTATAGTTTTTGCAAACCCCTGAAAATTGTTTTTCTTCTAAATTTCTTATGCTTGAATAAAATTATTAAGAGTGGGACCAGCAGTTGGCGTAATGGCTATGTCGCTGGACTCCCACGTAGTTGACTGCAGTTTGAGTCGCGGACCCGGTGACTTAAACTCACGCTAGGCGCATGTGCGTGCATGCCCAAGCTCCTGAGAGGAGAATGGAGGAGAAGGGATTGCAGTGTGGCCATCCTCCCTGGGGGGTGATTTTTTTAGCTTTCTGTCTTTCTGTCTGTCTCTGTCTTTCTGGCGAGCACACGCGCCGTATAGCAAAACCTCTACAAAAAAAAAAAAATTATTATGAGTAACAGGAAGCATTTTTTCTTTTTATTATGTACCTATCACATATGGAAGTAATTTTTTTTTTTTTTTGGCAAGGTTTCTCGCTATAGGGCGCGTGTGCTTGCCAGACAGAGAGAGACATAGAGACAGAAAGCAAGAAATCACCCCCAGGCGGGGTGGGCACGCCGCAATCCCTTCCCCTCCATTCTCCTCTCGGGATCTTGGACACGCACGCACACATGCCCGGCGTGAGTTTTAAGCCACCAGGTCCGGGACGTGAACCGCGGTTAACTATGTGGGAGTCCAGCGACATAGCCATTACGCTAACTGCTGGTTCCCTATGGAAGTAATTCTAATCTATTATTCACACCACCATTGAGTCTTGTGAAGATAAAAAGATCTGGTGGAAAAAAATGAATTTGTCCTCTTTCTTTGAGTGAATAGGATGCTTCCTATTCAGACTTAAAATTTTAATTTATCCATCTGTGAAGTAAGTATTTGTTAGTATCTGAGTATTTATCAGCTGAATTCAGGAACCTTTAGATTCAGTTCAGATAAATCTGTTGCTGTCCAATCTGTCATTTACTTGTCAATGAACATTCAGAACCAAATAGATTTTGATAGCATGGAATCCCTTAATGAATGGGCTTGCTACTCCCAGTCTTAACTATCTGAACTCAAGTACTGAATAAAACTGGGTAGTGAAGGGGACTTAATTTTTTGACCTGAAACCTTGTACCAACTTAATGAGATTGATCACCGCAGGATTTTTAAGAGTGTGAAATATTCAAAAGATGTAATGTTTTTCCTTGAGGTTGTCTGTTCTAAGAATTTTCAGTCACACACCTAAGCTTCATGTCTTCATGTGACCACAAATATGTGAGCTTTTGGATATCCTTCATGGTCTTGCTGAGATTTACTTACTGATCAGGGACGAGAGACAAAATTGCTTCTTTGACCATTCTGAAAGTACATTTGTACTGTTTTAATTTTCATCTGATTCCACTTTCTAGCATGTGGAAGAAGGGGAAAATCTGTTTTAGTACTAAAAGATAGGTTTATGTATATTTATAATTATTCTTTCTACAGAAACTGAAGAGGTGATACGAGAGTTTTTTAATGAAATGTGAAAGTAGTTTTAGCTTATTCCTATAAAACAGTATTAATCATATGAAATCCCTTTGGGCAGTTTCTACATCTAGAAAGTACCTTTGAAGAAAAGGATTACGTATGTGAGAGAATGGTGGAGTTTCTGATGGGAGCAGCCAAGCAGGAAACGTCAGTTATCCTGTCCTTTCAACTGTTGGAGGCGCTTTTGTTCAGAGTTCAGCTACATGTGTTTACTGGAAGATGCCAAAGTGCTCTTGCAATATTACAGGTAAATATTTATTATAGCGTTTCATTGCATTTTGTATAGAATGTTTTAAAGTTCTAAAATATTGGGTTGTTGAAAAAGTCATGACACATTTTTGCATAGAAAACCAAGTCATGACTTTTCTAAGACCCAGTAGATAGCAGTGTTTGAGGGTTGAGTGCACAGGCTTTGCATTTGAATCCTCGTTTTGACTCTTACTGAGTAAGTTGTGTGATAGTGGGCAAGTTCATTACTGTCTCATTTGCTTGATACAGATAATAACTTTATTTACATTGGAGTTATATTATAAATAGGACTCATTTTAAAAAAAATAAATTTTCTCATTTTACCTAGAATGCATTGAAATCTGCTAATGATGGAATAGTAGCTGAATACCTTAAAACAAATGATCGATGTTTGGCATGGCTGGCCTATATACATCTTATTGAATTCAACATTCTCCCTTCAAAATTTTATGATCCATCTAATGCCAATCCTTCAAGAATTGTTAATACAGAACCATTTGTAATGCCTTGGCAAGCAGTTCAAGATGTAAAGACTAATCCTGACATGTTGTTAGCAGTTTTTGAAGGTAAGTATACCTAGTTATAAATTATAACATCAACTGTTATAAATTTTAACATCAGTGTTTAGAAAGCAATATTCACATTATTGTGATTATTTATAATTAAGTGGAACAAGTTATGTGTTGTACGTTGTAGTTTCAAAATTTATATAAATTAAAGATTAAAGATTGAATCAGGTGACTATGAAAACAAGGAATTATACTACATAATTTTTCCAATTATGGGAAAATCTATCAAATATGTAGCTATAAAGACTATATAGATTGGCTGAATTGATTGAATCATACTAGGTACTTTTTTAAAAAAAGCAATTTATTAAAGTAGAAGTTTAAAAGGATATGTCTTATTTTCAACTAATTAATATTCTCTCAGTCAATTTGATTGCTACTGTATACTAATGATGTATCTCCTATGGAACACAAAGTATAAAGCTCATTCCTAAAAAGGATATAGCTTAGTGAGAAGATAAAACCTACATCTTTAACATCATTAAACATACAAGGCCACATAATTGTGTATTGGTATATAGTCTAAAATGTAAGCACAGAAGAGTCAAGGATCTGTGATTTATAGTTATTTGATACCAGCTATGAACCCAAAGAAGATGATTGATGGCATGATCAAGAAAATCTTCTTGGAAGATTGAAGCTTGGAGCTAAACCTTGAAGCATCAAGAGTCAAAACAAGGGTGTGACATAGTGGGCCTCCTTAAAGATGGGGAGGCCCTTCTTAAGTTTACTGTACATTTTCAAGTAACTTGTTTGATATCTTGACTGTGTATTAAATGCTTAGTACATGCTTATTGGCTAACTCAATGAAGAAAGGAAAAAAAGAAAGAACTAAATATACAAAAAGTAACAAATACATAAAAATTTGTGTATTGGATTAAAGGAGAGATTGGAAGAAAGGGGAGTCCTTATCAAAATGAGAATTCTGTGTTGGACAGTAGTAGGGATTAAGCTTGATACATGGAATGATACCAGATTTTCAAGAACTTTGAAAGTGTAGTAGACTTGATGACAGTTTAAGTTCTTTGAGGAATATGCTTGGAGAGAGATGATTAGGTTGCCAGGAAAGTCATGACTTTTTTTTTTTTTCTATGTTTTGCTATGCATAATGTGACATGACTTGGAAATAATTTGGAACAGAAGAAAGTTAAGGAAGTGGACCTTAAGTAGATATTATGGATAGATAAATGGATTTGAGAGTTATTAACATAGAAATTACAACATTACAAAGCAATTTACAGTTTTTAATGTGTTCTCAAAGTGAATTATTTGGTAGTTCAAACTATGACCTATTTTCCCTGAGGAAATGAGATTTAAGAGCATAACAGGGGTAAAAGGAGTAGAGTCAGTGAATGAAACTAACAGGAAACGTAAATAATCTCACAGAAGCAAGAAGAAATGAAAAAACGGAAGCACATTGTACATGTAAATAAAATAAAATGAAGGTAGAGGTGAGCTTTTAGGTTTATTTAAATATGAACCTTTATAAATGAGCTTTAAGAGAAGAGTTTCAGAATGATGACATTCACTTTTTTTAAATGCCAAAAGGTGTATATTCCTATGTGAGAGAGAAGGTACCTCCCTCCTTCTCCTAACAAGGATCTAGTCATCCAACATTCCTTTTTCCTCTTTTTTTTTTTAAGAGAGAGAGTTTTGCTGTAGAGCGTATGCACTAACCGCAGAGACAGAGAGAAAGTAAAAAAACACCCCCAGTGTGGAGTGGTCATGTCACATTCCCTTCTCCTCTATTCACTTCTCCAGATTTTGGACATGCTCGCACATGTGCCCAATGTGAGTGTCAAGCCTCCAGGTCCAGTACTTGAATTGTGGTTGGCCATGTGGGAGTCCAGCAACATAACCCTTATGCCATTTGCTGGTCCCTCTTTTTCCTCTTAATTTTCATTCCTGTCAGGATCCTGGACTGGAGTGTATGTGCCCAGCATATTTTTCAAGCTGATGAGGCCAGGACTCATACCTGAGTCAGCCATGTGGGATCCAGCTTCCTCACTACAGTACCTAACCTCTGTGCTACAAAGCTAGCCTGACATTGAATACTTTTTTTTTTTTTTTTTTAAGAGAGGTTTTTGCTATAGGGTGTGTGCGCTTGCTGGAGACACACACAGAAAGACAGAAAGTGAGAATTCACTACCCTGGGGGGATGGCCATATGGCACTCCCTTCTCCTCTCAGGATTTCAGGCACGCATACACATGTGCCTAGTGTGAGTTTTAAGCTGCTGGGTCTGGCAGTCAAACCACAATTGACTGTGTAGGGGTTCAGCAACATAATGATTATGCCATCTGCTGGTCCCAACATTGACTTTTTTTTTAAAAAAGGAATTACTTATTTAATTATTATGCATTCATTTATTTTCATTTGACCAGAGAGAGAGAGAGAGAGAGAAAGAGAGAGAAAAGAAAGTAAGCCACCAGCTCTGAGACTAGAACTGTGGAGGGTCATGTGGGAGTGTCCAGCACATTAACCACCACACCCCACCTGCTTGTCCTCCAACATTGACTTTTAAACTGCAAATCTGGGAAGGCTTGCTATCAAGCAAGCATGGCAGAAGTGATGACAGTCGTGCAAAGTAAAACATATTATTGTATAAGACGCAGCAAGGTCAAGTAAAAGACTGTTCTTTTCTTCCTTCCTTCCTTCCTTTCTTTATTTCTTTCTTTTAAAGAGAGATTTTTGCTATAGGGTCCGTGAGCTCAGCAGAAGGACAAAAAGCGAGAAGCCACCCTCACAGGGGTGATGGCCCTGTTGCAATCCCTTCTCCTCCTCTCTGCTCTTGGGACTTTGGGCACACATGCACACATACACACATGCTTGGCGTGAGTTTCAAGCTGCCAGGTCTGGGACTTGAACTGCAGTTGACGATGAGGGAGTTGAGTGACATAACCATTATGCCATCTGATGGTCCCGTAAAAGACTCTTTACAAGGGGAAAAGTGTGTTTCGAAGGAATAAGGAAAAGACCTAGTTTAAGAGGAAACATTTAAATGGCTGTTGAATAGCAGAACAAGATCTCATTTGAAATGGTTATGGAAAAAAATGAAAAGATAATTTATTTTGGTATTTTTTTCCCCCCTTAAGATGAGTTTTAAGGAATTTAGATGTGGAATAATTGCAGAGACACTGGTCTAAGTGAAAACAATAATAGAAGTAAGAACTTATATTTAATGGTTTATTCTTACCAGGAAAAGTGAAGAGATTGCATTTTAGGAGTTTGAAGATACCTCAAATACTTCTTTTGGATAAAAGCCAGAAAATTCAGTAAAGATTAGTAAGACTGGGCACGCAAAGGGATAGATTCATCTTCTCATTGGTCTCTTAGAGTTGAGATAACACAAATCAGTTATTCATTTTACTTTTGATTCACTCTGTTATGTTTTTGGATAGATGCTGTGAAAGCTTGCTCAGATGAGAGCCATACTGTTGAGGAAAGGATAGAGGTCTGCCTTCCACTTTACACAAACATGATTGCCCTGCACCAGCTCCTGGAGAGGTAAAAACTTAATTGATAAGTATCTGACATTGTGTTAAAAATTGATCTTTTCATTGTTTAGCAATCTCTCTTTTCTTTTTAAGGTTTGAGGCTGCAGTGGAGCTTTGTAAACACTTATTGGAGTCATGTCCCATGAACTGCCAGTTGTTGGAAGTCCTTGTTGCTTTATATTTGCAAACAGATCAACATGACAAAGCCAGAGCAGTGTGGCTCACTGCATTTGAAAGAAACCCTCAGAATGCAGAAGTTTTTTATCACATGTGTAAATTTTTCATCTTGCAGGTAAGAGACTCATAATTCTTTTTTATGTTTATTATATCTCTTCAGTGAGTGAGAGATAGGGAAA